ACCTCTGAGAAGCAGGGGAGGATAGATCAGTTTCATTTCCATTGGCTTCCTTGAACAAGAAGTGAAGAGAGATCATCGCTGGGGGAAGCATCGCGACATCATTATCAGGCCCTTTCCCGAGACTCGCGGCAGGCAAGTTTCCGTAGTGTAGTGGTTATCACGTTCGCCTAACACGCGAAAGGTCCCCGGTTCGAAACCGGGCGGAAACACGTTTTTCTTTTTTTCTCTCACTAAATTTCTTCTGCAATGTTTCCTCAAACTTCGCTATTTCTTCCTACATTACAGAAGAGGTTCATTTACGCATGCACATATTTTACAACTTTTTGAAAAATATCTTCCATCTCTTCCAGTGTGAGTGTATTTTGGCCTTTGGGTTGCGATTCTTGGCTCTAGATGCTAAAGGCAGTTTTTAAAATTGACTCTTAAAAGTTCGCAGTAGGTTTAGAAAGTCCGTCGAGTAGTATTGATTGCCTTTGTGCTCCCCAGCCCAATAGCTCTGATGCCAGCCATGCTGCTCTAGAACACTGATGTTCTAGATGATGATGTTTCTGGTACCTCCTTTGCTCACCTGTGGGGCTGAGGATGGAAGGTGAGGCAGGGGACCAGCCCAGGGAGGTGAGAGTGGAGTCAGGAGAGGGCAGAAGAAAGGACAAAGGGGAGCCTCAAAAAGCTGCCTTCCGCTACCAGGAAACAAAGTATACACAACTGCAACATTGTAGACATTGACATTGTCAATTACTTTGAGAGCCTTCAACTCTCGTACAAATGCAGTGACCAGCCCCCGGACTGAGGAAAAAGGATGCTACCCCGCGGCCTGATAGGGAGGTGAGCGACTCCGGTTGCAGAAAGAAATACGTACGTTTGGACAAGGCCGAAGTGGGAATTTGTTTTGTATCTGCATATTTGCACAAGGGTTTTGTTGTTATTGTTTTCAATGGGTGAGGGGAAGTATGGGAGGAAGAGAAAATAAATGCTTGGTAATTTTAAAAAGTTGGTTTTTTTTTTTGTTGTTTTTTTTTAGTGTCCCCTACAGGAGAATGGGAAAAAAAAAGAAATCTACAGACCCTTTTTGTTTAGCACACAAATATTACTTTGAACAGGGACCGGGAAAGGAAAGACGGAAGGGAGGGAAGTGACCCAGGAAAGCAAAATTTTTTTTTCCTTGGAACCGTACTTTTTGATTAATTGATTGATGTGCCCTGGTGAGGGCCAACTGGGGAAATAAATTTAACCGCTCTCCGTCTCAGTTTCTTCATCTGTAAAATGGTGTAACTGCACTTGCCTTCCAGGGTTTTTGTGAGGATCGAATGGCATAGATACTTTTTAAAGCGTAAAGTGTTATATAAATGTTGGATGTGACAGTTGTCAGAACAAATAATTGTCGGGTGGTCAGTCAAGAAGCGTTGATTAAAACAACTACTAAGAGCAAGGCATTATGCAAAGTTCTGGGGATACAAAAAGAAGCAAAAGACAGTCTCTGCCCCCAGGAGCTCACAATCAAATGGGGGAGAAAGTAAGCAAACAAATATGTGCATACTACATACCAGATAAATAGAAAACAATTAACAGAGGGAAGGCACTAGAATTCAAAGAGGTTGGGAAAGGTTTCCTGTAGATGGTATTTTAGTTGGGACTTAAAAGAAACCAGGAAGGCAGTAGGCAGTAACGAGGGGGTAACGAGTGTTTCAGGCAACGGGGGACAGATAGAGAAAACACCGGGAGCCAAGAGATGGAGTACATAGTTAATGAAAAAGCCAGGAGGCCAGTATCACTGGATCAAAGAATAGGGAGTAGGGTGAAAGAAAACTGGAAAGTAGGAAGGGGCTAAATTATGACTGGCTTTGAAAGTCAAGCAAAACATTTTGTATTTCTTCCTGGAGGCACTGGGGAGCCATTGGAGTTTATTGAGTTCCAGGGTTTAGGGTGGGGTGGGGTGAGGGGGTGTATGTGTGACATGATCATAACTGAGCTTTAGGAAAATCACTTTGGTGGCTGAATGGAGGATGGATTGGAGCGGGGAGAAACGGGACCGACAGACCTACCAGCTGTGAGGGGGTGAGAGTCTGGACCAGGCTGGGGGTGGTGTCAGAGGAGAGGAAGGGGATTATTTGAGAAATGTTACAAAGGGAAGGCAGGAGAGGGGGAGGGTTAGGGGAAAAGATAGTAAATTCAGTTTGGGACATGTTGAGTTTTTTCCTTATTTTTTTAATTTCTTTTTTTAAATAGTATTTCCCCCAATTAATGTAAAGACATTTTTAACATTCATTTTTTATAAAATTTTGAGTTTCAAATTTTCTCCCTTCTTCCCTCCTCTCTCCCCTCCCTATGACAGTAAGCAATTTGATATAGGTTATATATGTACAGTCATGTAAAACATTTCCATATTAGTCATGTTGTGAAAGAAGAAACAGAACAAGATGAAATGTTGGTATGCTTTGATCTGCATTCACACTCAATCAGTTCTTTTTCTGGATGTGGATAGCATTTTCCATCATGAGTCTTTTGGAATTGTCTCAGATTGTCATATTGCTGAGATGAGCTAAGTCAATCATAGTTGATCATGGCACAATGTTTCAGTTACTGTGTACAATGTTCTGCTGGTTCTGTTCACTTCACTTTGCATCAGTTCATGTAAGTCTTTCCAGGTTTTTCTGAAATCCGCCTGCTCATCATTTCGTTGTTTTTTGTTTTGTTTTGTTTTGTTTTTTTGTCTAGGCAACAGGGTTAAGTGACTTGCCCAGGGTCACACAGCTAGTAAGTGTTATGTGTCTGAGGCTGGATTTGAACTCTGGTCCTCCTGAATTTAGGCCCAGTGCTCTATCCACTTAGACACCTAGCTGCCCCTACTCATCATTTCTTATAGCACAATAGTGTTCCATTACTTTTATATGACATAACTTGTTTACCCATTACCCAATTGATGTGCATCCCCTCAATTTCCAATTCTTTGCTACCCCAAAAAGTACTGCTATAATTTTTTGTACATGTAGGTCCTTTCCCCTTTCTTTATGATCTCTTTGGGATACAGACCTAGTAAGTGGTAGCTGGATCAGAGAGTGCGTGCAGTTTGATTGACCTTTAAGACAGTTCAAAATTGCTTTCCAGAGTGGTTGGATCAGTTTACAACTTCACCAACAGTGCATTAGTGAGACGTGTTGAGTTAGAGATGTCTGAAAGACAGTTGGAGGTATGAGACTGGAGGTCAGCAGAGAGGTTAGGACCAGATGGGAGGATGCGAGAATCATCAACATAGCTATTAATGCATGGGAGCTGAAGAGTGTAGGGGAAGAAGAGAAGAAAGCCCAGGATGGAACTCTGAGGGACACCTACAGTTAAAAGGCACGATGTGGAAGAGGATCCAGCAAAGAAGAAAGGGGCTGTCAGATAGATAGGAGGAGAATCAGGAGAAAGTGATGTCCAGAAAGCCTAGAAAGAAGACAGTATCAAGGAGGAGAGAGTGACCAACAGGGTCAAAGATGATAGAGAGATTGAGGAGAATGAGGATTGAAAAACAAAATCCATTGGATTTGAATATTAGATCTGTGGTAACTTTGGAGAGAGCACTTTCACTGAAATGATGAGTTTGGAAGCCAGATTGTTAGAGGTTAAGAAAAGAGTGAAGAAACAGAAAGTAGAGGCACTTATTGTAGATGGGCCTTTTCAGGGAGTCCAGCCACAAAAAGCAGAAGAGAAACAGAAAGGATCAAGTGAGAATTTTTTGAGAGTGAGGGAGGCATGGGCATGACTGTAGGCAGTAGGGAAGGTACTAGTAGACAGGGAGAGATTGAAGATAAGTGAGAGTGGGGATGACAGAGGCAGCAATCTATTGGAGATGAGAAGGCTTAAGCAGGTGGAGGGGTTAGCCTTGGTAAAGAGTAAGGCTGATTGTCGCGTGAGACAAGGGTGAAGGAGGAGATAGCGGCATAAGACACCTGAGGGATAGGAGATGAGGAAGAGGGGGTTATAGTGAACGACCTCATTTCTTTTTTTTTTTTGTAAAACATGAGGCAAGAATCTCAGCTGAGTGGTGGTGGTGGTGGTGGAGGGGAGCCATGGAAAGTTTGAGGAGGGATGAGAAGTTTTGGAGGGCACAGCTGAGGTTGTGGCTGGGGGGATAGAGCACCAGATTTGGATTCAAGAACACCTGAGTTCAAATCTAGCCCCAGATACTTGTTAGCTGTGTGTCCTTAAGCAAGTTATTTAACCTCTTTGCCTTAGTTTCTTAATTTCTGAATTAGAGATAATAATGACTACCTCCCAGGGTTTTTGCTGCAAAGCTCAAATTAGGTAATTGTATGTAAGTATTGTTATAAAAAAATAGAGGGTATCCTAAGCTTCATTGATCTATCCATCCATTTATGCATATCTATATACAGGACACCCTCTATAAATGAAGTAAGTTTTGCGGAAAAGCACAGTAGCATCTGAGGAGATTTTTTTCCTCTTTATTGTTTCCGAAAATGAATTGCTGCCATGGGCCATGAATCCCTCCCCCTTGCACCCCTTTGTATCTTCGAGCATCCATAGAGGTACAAGCGGTCGCCTCCCTGGTAGAATGTGTGGACTACAAATCCCAGCATGCACTCTCTAGGCGAGGATCCTGACCTTCCGCCCCCCGCACAGGACCGAGCCCCCGGCTTCGGTCGAGGGAGCCAGGCCTGCGTCCGGGACTTTCAGGCCCAGAAAGGAGCCGCGTACCCTGGAGCAGGAGCGGCCGAGCTAGGCCTTGGGACAGGCTGCGGACGGACTACAATTCCCAGAGGGCAGAAGGGCCACGGTGGGTGACAGGCCGCCGGGCGCGGGGCATGCTGGGATTCGTAGTCTCGCGGGCGGGCGGGCAGGCTCGGCCGTCTCCAAGGCCCCGCGGCCTGGGCCCGGCCCGGGCCCGGACCGCTGGGGGCCCCGGGCGTTGCTAGGGAACGCCCGCAGACCGGAAGTGAGCGAGTCGGGCGCGGAAGCCGGGCCGGGCGCCGGAGCGCGGCGGGCGCGGTGACGTCCCCCCGACATGGCGTCGAGTGAGTGAAGAAAGTGCCTCCTGAGTGGGTGCCGCCAGGTGAGCAAGTGCCCGTCCGACCCGCCCCGCGCCCCGCGCCCGGCCTGCCCTTGGGTAGGGACGGGGCGGGGCCCGCGGACCGGGTCGGGCCTCAGTTTCTCCCTCCGCTGGAGCCCCTCAGCGGCCGGCCGCTTAAAGTCACCTCCTTGGCGGGTGTAGACGCGTCCTTTGGCCTGTCTGGTCCCAGAGTGTTCTACTCTAGAGCTCGGGGCGGGTGGGGGTGTGAGTTGAGGAGGGTAGCGGTCGCGGCGGCCCCTAGGTGCCCGGGATGGGGGCGGAATCAGACCCGCCTGCCCCCCGGAGCCCCTCGGGCCGCGTCCAGTGGGTCTGATCTCCGTGCACCCGTCCTTCTCCCGGTCCCCCTGCACCTGTGCCAGCCCCCCGGTGTCCCCCGGGCTCTGTCCAGTGGTTCTGACCTCCATGCACCCCACCTTCCCCTATCCTGGCCCCCCTGCACCTGTCCCCAGAGCCCCCCCCCGTCCAGTGGGTCTGACGTTGTCTCCCTCCTTCTCTGGTGGGCCCGACTCGAAGACTCCCGCCTTCCTGCCCCTATGCCAGTCCTCGGAGCCCTTTGGGATCCGTCTGGTGGGTCAGGACCCCCCCAGTCCCTCGAGCCGCGTCCCACTGTGGGTCTGACCTCCCTGCACCCCTGCTTCCCCCACCCCGGCCTCCCTGCACCTGTGCCCGCCCCCGAAGCTCCTCGGGCTGCGTGCAGTGGGTCAGGACCCCCCTCAGTCCCTCGGGCCCGTCCGGTGGGTCTGATCTCCGTGCACCCCTCTTTCCCCCACCCTGGCCCCCCTGCATCTGTGCCCGCCCCCGAAGCCCCTCGGACTGCGTCCCACTGTGGGTCTGACCCCCGTGTCCCGTCCCCCCACCCCCAGGCGGCCCGGCTGGAAGACCCCCGCCCCCTGCAACTGTATCAACCCCCGGAGCCCGTCTGGCCGCGTCTAGTGGGTCAGGACCCCCCCCCCGGTCCCTCGGCCCGCCCGGTGGGTCTGACCCCCGTGTCCCCCCCCCCCCCAGGCGGCCCGGCTCGCAGACCCCCGCCCAGCCCCAGGATGCGGCCGTCGCACCACTGCGGGCACCTCCTGGAGCGGCTGAACGCGCAGCGCGAGGCGGGCTTTCTGTGCGACTGCACGGTGGTCATCGGCGAGCAGCAGTTCCGAGCGCACCGCAACGTGCTGGCCTCCTTCAGCGAGTACTTTGGCGCCGTGTACCGGGACTCCCCGCACAGCGACGTCTTCCTGGACCAGAGCCAGGTGAAGGCTGACGGCTTCCAGAAGCTGCTCGAGTTCATCTACACCGGCACGTTGCACCTGGACAGGTAGGGGCGGGCCGGCACTGGGGGAGCCGAGCTCCTTCCCTTTCAGAGAGGCTGAAATCTGCCTCTCTGTAGCTTAGGCTCATGCCCATTGCCCCGAGGTTCCCCTTTGGGGTCAGATCATCTTCACAAGACCTTCTTTCCTTAGGCTCAACATCCCAGCCTTTCACCCCTACCCCCCATCACGGAAGGTGGAAGAGTAAAGTGGGGTGCTCATCTAAAATTACATCAGGTTTTGGGGCTGATGTAGCATGGACAGTCCATTAAGTCCCCAGGTCTCTGCCCTGTGCACTGCTGTGCAGCAGGGATTTCCTCATCCAGTACTTGTGCACAGAAGGGGGTCTCTCTCTACGTTTATCACTATTAGTTTCTTTATATTCAATTTGGCCTGTTTTCCCAACTTTTTGAAATCTTTTTTTATCCCAATTTGTATTTCCAGATTCTTGTCATCTGGAGATTTGATGAGCATGACCCTCATAAGGCAGAGCAAAGAGGGAGTTCAGCAGTATGCTGGTCCAAAGGAGTACAAAGACAGCATATCTCCCAAGTCCAAAAAGCAAAGATGTTTAGCCCTCGAATTAAGAGTTTGTTTCTGACTTTTAACATCTGCTCTCTTAACAAAAATGAACTAAAGTAAATTTTAATATGAATAATGGAAGAGCAGAGATAAAATGCAACTGAGCACCAGGTTTCTCTCCTCCTTTCCTCCCATTGGGACAGAATTGGTTAGTGCTTTTGTATGGTTTTGTGTTCTTCCAGGCTCCCTGTCTCTGTGCTGCAGGGAAGTGCTTTCTGCACTTGGTGTTCTGGAGGTTGGCACAGGGTTGCCTTCAGTGCCAGCCCCTTCTGCCACCTTTGTGTCCACTGACAAATGTTACTAGTCAGAAACGAGGACAAAGAATGAAACAACTCCTGTCCAAAATTAACGATACCGTATTGGGGGAGACAAGGACATATGAAAGTCTCTGCCGCGTGGACATGAAGTTAACAAGCTCGGGTGCCAGCACGCTTGCACGCACTGCAGTTAAATATGAAATAGTTTGGGATAATTAGGGCAACAACAGTTGTGATTAGGAAGGGCTTCCAGCAGAACATGGACCCTGAGGAAGAGAGGGACTTTGGGATGTCGCTAAGGAGGCCTGGCCTTTCTGCCTGGGAGATGGGAAGTGGGAGTGTTGTGAGGAGCTGAGGTGAAGCCAGTTTGGCTCGAATGCAGGTGGAAAGGGGGGTGGTGAGACGGGAGGGCAGGCGATGGCCAGATCTGCATTTTGTTCTTGTGGCACTAAGGAACCCCTGGAGTTGGTTGCACAGGCTCAGATCTGCGTTTCAGGAAAGTTACTATGGCAGTAGTACTTTTGGACTGGAGAGGAGGCAGACAGGAGGCAGGGAGACCCTGTAGGAGACTGTTGGGATGATCTTGGCAAGAGTATCACAGTAACGGCCTGAACCATATGGCACCTGGGTGAGTGGAGAAAAGGGGTCAGATGAGAGAGGTGTTGTGAAGGTAGAAATGGCAAGATTTGGCCACCAATTGGATATATGTGGGTGAGGGAGAGTGGGGAGTGGGGGATGATGGCAGGATTACAGCCCTGAGGCACTAGGAGGGTGGGAGTTCCTTTGATAGAATAGGGAAGCTTAGAGGGGAGGGTTTAGGGGGAAAGAATTCAGAAGCATTTCTGTAGTGTGTCCTGCATGCCAGGCCCTGTGTTAGGCACTTTAAAGATATCATCTCATTGGATTTTAGACATGTTGAGTTTATGATCTCTCCAAGATGTCTTGTTTGATATGAGACTGGGCTAGATGTGCGGACCTGGGAGTCTGCATAGAAATGAACTTCAAACCCATGGGAACTGATGACATGAGCAAGAGAGAGTCTGGGGGTCGAAAAGAAGAGGGCCTAGGCCAGAACCTAGGGGAGCACCCACAGGTGGGGGATGTTCTGTGGAAACTGAGGAGGAGCTGTCAGCCAAGTAGGAGAAGGCAAACCAGGAGAGAAGCATGCCCAGTATCAGTGACTGATCTCAGAGGATTAGGACAAAGAAGATTTGGCAATTCAGAGGTTGTAGGTAACCTTACCAAGTGATGAGGTTGTGGAGCAGGGGGAGGAGAGGCTAAGTGTGTTGACAGCTTCTTCAAGGAGTTTGGCTGAGAAGAGGGGAAGATCTGGAGGGAAGGGTGTAGCTTGAAGGGATGGGAAGGTCCAGTGAAAGATGTAAAGGATGGGGAGACTGGGATGTATGTGACGGCATCAGAGAAGGAACCAGTTGGGTAGAACTTGGAGATCTGAGAAGGTTACGGTAGAGGATACACTTTGCTGGAAAAGATGGGAGGGATAGCCAGTTGCAGGTAGAGGGGTGGTCTTGGCAAGAAGGGTCCCATCTTTGTCAGAGCCTGGGGGAAAAGGAGGCGAGCAGAAGGTGATAGAGATGAAAAGAAGGAGAGGAGAGGAAGCTTGTGCTGAATTGACAAGATCCTCATGTGGGGAGCTTTAGGGAAGAAGAAAAGGTTTGGGGTGGCTTCTGTAGGGAGGGAGATTGGGAATAAATTTGGGAGGAATAAAGATTGCCTGGCTACAGGGAGGCCCCAAGTGGGGTTGAATAATTTGAATTTATCATGTGCCCAAACAGCATGATTGTGGGATCTCCTTCAGCTTTGTCAGTAGCTGCTCGTGAGGAGAGGGAGTAGAGGAGGCCAATGTGGGGTATTGCTTGGGGGGGGCACTGTTGGGGGCTCAGGGATTGAGGACAGTGCAGAGTTGAGCTGTCTAATTGTCGGTTTGAGGATGGAGCAGGGATAATGAAGCGCTGAGGGTGAAAGGTGTGGGAACGTCAATGGTGACCAGCAGCAGCTTTGAGAAGGGGAAAGCACAGGAAAAGGAGATTAGGATCAAAATTAGCGATGTGGTGATAGTAGGGCACAGTGTGGGACTGGGTGAGAGGGGGAGGACATGGGGCTTGAGGGAGGTGGGGGGGGCTGGTGGGGGTTAAGGAGGGAGAATGTCCATGAACTTGCCCCCAGTACAAGGGCAGGAGTTGGAGAGGAGAAGGTGGTTAAGCAGGGGTAGAGCTCCTTGAGAAAAGAGGAAAATGTCCTGGAGGGAGGGAGGTCATCATCCTGCAGCCAAAAATAGTCTTGAATGAGTAGACTTCAAAAGAAGAGGGGTTATTGAGTGAAGGAGGCCGAGGGGCTACCTGGAAGGGACAAAAGATGGAGGAATATTCTGACTCCCCCTCTAAGACCTGTGGGGGTAGGGGAGGTCACGTGTGAAAGAAGGTACAGCCAGTGCTGGGCTGGATAGCCAGGGCTGCGGGGGCAGGCACAACTTCAGTCTGTTTGAAAGAAGCTAATACCCTTTGTGGTCTCTGCTGCTGTACCGACTGTTAGAATGTGGAGAATAATTCTTGGTTTCTGCAGCCATCCCTTTCTCCTGTTGCCACCTGTTGGTTCTGAAAGAGTTTCTCTCCAGGGTTTATTGAAGGAAAGAATAGAGTTTCAGGGCTTTTTTCCCCCTTCTTTACTGTCCCTGAAACAAACCTTTGGAAGTTTTCTAAAGGTTTTTTTTGTTTTGTTTTGTTAAAGTAATATGTTAAAAAGGTTTCTCTACTGATTCCCTCGTTTCTTAAATCCTGTAAGGAAAATTGTATCTATATGCTCATATATAGTCTTAGGGTAGAGAAAGAATCAAAGGGACAGTAAATATCTTGGTCTCTTGTGAAAAGCAGATCTGTGCTGTTCTGGGTATTTCATCACTATAGGAATTAGCTATGTTTAAAGGAAAACCTTTTGCAAAGTAAATCTTCATTCTTATAAACAAGTTTTATCCTATTTGTAGATAGGAGTGATGACAAAGATAATAACCAAATGATAGAAAATGCAAACTAATTTACACGTGGATTTAGAAAGTATTTTATCTTGAATTTTTGATATTAAAAGTGCCTCTGATATAGGAATTGATTAGCTTCAAAAAAAGATTCCTGGCTAACCTTTGTAGTTTTACAACTTGCTTTACATGAAATAGGATTTCATTTGAATCTCACAACAACCCTGGGTGGTGGTATAAGTATTTATAACTGAGGAAACTTCCCTCTAATTAGAGAAGACAGTGTAATCTAGTGGATAGACAACTAGCCGCTGAGTTAGGAAGATCTGGGTTCAAGTACTGCCTCAAACCAGGGCTTTTGTGGCATGATCCTCAGTCTTCTACTTTTCTCACTAGACCACACTGTTCAGTAACAAAGAGCATTGAAGGCTGTGCTGTCCGTCACCCACCTGCTTGTAGTTTGTTCCAAACAAACAAGCAACCAAAAAAAGCCAGCCCTCAAAAATGAAAACATCGAGGCTTAGTAATAAAGACATCCTTTCTTCTAATGGCATTTTGTGCCTTTCCAGCATCACAGAGTAAGTTGTTTATTTTGGTTCAGCAGTAGCTGTAAGAAAAGATTTTTTTGGAAAAACCGTAACAGTCCTTTCTGTGTAGTTAGACAGTGTGGGTGACCATCCCAAAATGGAAGCAAGATTGTCCAGCAAAGAAGTTAATTATACTAATACCTATAAAAGTAAAGGATCCATAATGGTGGTATGAATGAATTATGTGAGCTTTTATTTTTGAATGTTAAAAAATTTAGATGGCAGTTTAGTGAGGTGAATTTCAGTATAGCTAAAGCTGCCTGGATTCCTGTTTCCATTTTTAACTTGAAGGGATGATGGCATTTCACATCGATCACCAAGGCCAACTGGATCAAATTAGCTAGGATCCTGTGATTCATTTTGGAGAATATGCAGAGTTGTAATTTGGGGTTTTAAGGTCAGACTTTGTTTGGCTTAGAAAATCGGACAAGTCATGTTACAGTTCAGCCCTGTCTCTAACTTACTCTGCTGCTCAAGAGGAACCCTTTATTTTCTCGTTGGTGAAATATAGCTAAGCGTGAAAGTGATGATGGCTCTTTGTGAATCTTAAGTATTACTTAACAAAGGTCAGTATGAGTGTTAAGATACTTTTTGTTAAAAGTACACAATTTGAAAATTTTCTTTGGCATCCATGTCATTTTAAAGTTTATAATTAAACTTTTCATACAATGATTTTTCATTTTTAAGTTCCAGAGACTTGACCGCAGTCCAAAAAGAGAAATGAGTTATTTACACTGTCTCTCTACTTACACAGAGAATCCCTGACTTAACAAAAATATATTTGAATGTTATGGCGTCCTAGCTTTAGAGCTGCAGTGATTTTAGAGACCATTGAGCCCAGCCCTGGCCCTCATTTTACAGATGGAGAAAATGAGGCAGAGAGGCCTGAAGTGACTTGCCCCAGGGTCCGCAGCTAGTCAGTATCTGAGGCAGGTAGGAGTCCCTGTCCTTGACTATGCCAGCACCCTTCCTTTGGAAGTTAAGATGCATTAAAGTTTTCAGCCAGGCTCATACAAGGTTTAACCAAACTGTGTTAGGGTAGAAATATATTTATAATGAAAAATTTTAGAAAGCAATAATTAAACAAAAAAGGACACATTTAATGACAGTTTATTTAGATTACTGAGACTTGAAGGAAAGGAGGGTCAATTAGAGGAAGCCAAGGAAGGTAGTGATTTCAAGTACTTTTGTATTCTTTGACCAGAATATTGTCATTTAGCCTTGTTTCCTTGCAGTTGGAATGTTAAAGAAATTCATCAGGCTGCAGACTATCTCAAAGTGGAAGAGGTGGTCACTAAATGTAAAATAAAGATGGAAGATTTTGCTTTTATTGCTAATCCCTCTTCTACAGAGATATCTAGTATTACTGGCAACATTGAGTTGAACCAACAGACTTGCCTCCTTACTCTTCGAGATTTTAACAATCGGGAAAAATCAGAAACTTCCATTGATTTGGTTCAGGCACATGCCAAGAAGGTGACTTTAGAAAAGAAGTCTCCTCCAACCAAAAAGAAGAAGAAGACTTTCAATTCTCAGAAAAATGTGCAGAATAAACCAGTGCAATATTCCAGTGACATTTTAGAGAATTCATCTGTTGACATGTTCCTAGATATAAGTAAATTGCCTTCACCAGTAACAGAACAAGTTGCACAAGGAAATGATACCTCAGAACTCCAGCTGACTTCCGTTGTGGGAAATGATAGTTTTACAACACAAGATAGCATTTTGCAAACAGTCGCAGTGAAACAGAAACGGGGAAAATCACAGCCAAGCTGTGCTTTGAAAGAGCACTGTATGTCTAATATAGCCAGCGTCCCGAACACTTACCAGCTCGAAGCCTCTGGAGAAGACCTAGATCAGAGTTACTCGAAGGCCAAGCCAATGTGTAACACTTGTGGGAAAGTGTTTTCAGAAGCCAGCAGCTTAAGACGACACATGAGAATACACAAGGGGGTAAAGCCCTATGTCTGCCAACTGTGTGGGAAAGCATTCACCCAGTGTAACCAGCTGAAAACGCATGTCAGAACTCACACAGGTGAGTGCATTTTTTTAAGGAAACATTTTCATAGGGTGCTGATTATTTGCTGCTTGAAATCTGCATGTTATATACAGAAAAAAATTAAAAGTATAAAATTGTTGAAATATTGTTAAATGTGTATTTCACGATGTTCGTGGTTTATTAGTGATGCCCAGAAGACACACATAATGCACTAATTCTGTAATTTCTAAGAATTAAAAGTAATTTGTGTAATGTAGTGCTTAGCTTGCTAGTCATTAAGAAGAGCAGATTTTGAAGCTGTTAAAGGCCTTCTATGAGTCTCCCTGACATTTTTTATTTGCCAGAGCTCCTCTCTCTACTTCTCTCCTTAGCTTCTCAACTTCTAGGTCTTTGCCATTGAGAAATCAATTTTTTCATTGGGTAACCAATGCTTGCCTTCCCTTCCTTTAGGTACTTTTATCCTGCTGTTATTTGTTCTAATGAATATTCGAGTCTGGAGAAAGGTCTCCTGGCTGCTTTAGTTGCTTTTTAGGCATGCCCTTTGTACTGATAACTAGAAAGGTGATGAAGAACTTGTTTACCTTTTTTGTATGAAACAAGTACAATACAAAATTCCTTTTAAATCTGAATGCTTCTTTGGATTTTTTTAGGGGAGAAGCCATATAGATGTGAGCTCTGTGACAAAGGTTTCGCTCAGAAGTGCCAGCTAGTTTTCCATAGTCGCATGCATCATGGTGAAGAGAAGCCCTATAAGTGTGATGTATGCAATTTACAATTTGCAACTTCTAGCAATCTCAAGATTCATGCTAGGTAAGAAAAATTGATACAAGGTGTTTATCTGTGACAGTCAGTTATTGGACATAGTACTGTATGGGGGGACATTAGGGAGTTCTGAGTTCAGGTGTGGATTCCAGTGTAGACTTTGACCTCATGACGATTTCTGCAGTGTCTCCATCTGTACAAATGGTCAAATGCCTGATTCTCCTTCACTAGGGCATTGTGAGGACACCTGAGATTATATTTTAAGAACAGATAAATGCAGGGTGCTCTTGTTAGAGAGATTTGGATAGTGCTTTGAGACAAGACATTACATTTTTTATGGACCATTCACATTTAGTCTTTTATTCATCCTGTTTTTCCTTTCCTCCTCTACTCCAGTGCATAGCACAGTGCCTGGAACACAGTAGGTTCTTAATAAATGTTTTTTGACTGACAGTGATAGGAGGACTTCTGAGTAAGAGGACATAGCATGAATTTTTCCTAGCCATTGTATAGAGAGGCTTCCATCAAAGTAGAGTTTTTTGGGAAAGGAGGAGGATGGTGTCCACTTTCTGCTGCTTTTACTCTCAATCAGCTAGTAGGTCTTGAAGGGTAAAGTGGCACATGAGTTGAATTGTCCTCATGCCTGAGTTGGTCACCAGGCAGCACTCCCAGGTCCTGTTGGGTGAGACAATTGGAAATATTGCTCTGAAGACTAAATTATATCGAGAATTAATTGCTAAATGAGAAGGGGGCATTGTAATGTTTGTTAGTTGATGGGACATAAGTTTTGTATATTTTTAAAAATTAATTTACACACACATGAGACATCACATAGTGTAGTGGATAAAGCCAACCTTGGAGGTTGGAAAACCAGGACTCAAGTCCTGCCTCTGACCATTCTGTCTCCGTGACCTTGGGAAATCACTTCACATCCCAGCGTTACAGGCTGCTTTTGGTACACGTTGCAGAGAAGGTGCCAATCTTCACTGATAGTTATTTCCCTCACCTAGGAGTTCCCTATCATAATGGAACCCATGGTCCAGACCTCCCTACACACCCACACATATACCGGTATGTCATATATACATCCATAGAGATGGAAAGCAATGAAAAATGTAGGTTTTGGTTTTTTTTTTAAATCAAGTATACAGCCTACACAAACAAAGCACCTGAGGAAGAGCTCTGCTAGCTTAACTTCGTACATGGGTTTTTGGACCTTTACGTTAAGGATGCTTGAGGGGTGTGAGTTTCTGGTAAGAGAACTTTTAATTTCAGCTGCCATGAAAACTTTGGGCAGAGTTTTTAATCTCTTCTCCCAACTAATACTGAGACTACTGGAACATTGGCTTCTGTTTAGAAATGCTTACCAGTCAAATGGAGGCCAATTTCGGAAACCCGCTCTTGACCTTTGAAGCTGCTATGAAAGCTTTACCAGTCTATATGACCAGTGTCCAAGGGTGGGCCCAGACCCTGTGCTGGTCTCTAACCGTGCACTTCTCTGTTGCCAGGAAGCATAGTGGAGAAAAGCCATATGTGTGTGACAGGTGTGGACAGAGATTTGCTCAGGCCAGCACATTGACTTACCACGTTCGTCGGCACACCGGAGAAAAGCCTTATGTGTGTGATACATGTGGGAAAGCGTTTGCGGTGTCTAGTTCCCTCATAACTCACTCTCGAAAACATACAGGTGAGAATTGGATATGAAAAGGTGATGCTTGAAGGAGAGGGAGCCGTGAACCAAAGGAGGGGGATGGGAGAAGAGAGATCAAGGGAGTGGCTATGGGCAGAGGCAGAGACTGGTCCCATACAAGAGGGTGGAGTGTAGATGCCCCAAGTGTATTCGTTAAATATAAAAGCCAAATTCTTCTTTAGGTCCATTATTTCAATAATAGGTACGTGTCGTACAACCTATAAACTGAAAAAAAAAACTATAATAATGATGACTTGATTTTTTTACTCAGAATTTTAAATCTTACAAAGAATGTCCTTCAAAATCATAGTGTCTAATTTGAAACATGTTTTGCAGGTTTGCTTTCTGTAGGACTGTTTGTAACTAGTTACTTATTTTCAGGGCTACTGCTTTTATTGGTTGATAAATGTAAATGAACTTTTAAGATTACATAAAAAAATGAAACTTAGGAAAAATTTGTTTCTACCAAAGAGAGTTATAGAAATGAGACCTTATATGAAAATAATCTAATTATATGAAAAGTACAAAATACTGGTTACTAACATTCATGAAGTTGGATCACTAAAAATAAGTACTAGCATACCTCTAACATCTTTTATGAGATTAGAGGTTTTAATTGAAATGTTATTTTAGAATAGTTTATTTGAGGTAATCTGTAATTGATAAAATATTTTGCTGGTATAGTACACCACCTCGCTATCTTTTATTTTTCATCTAGGTGAAAAACCATACATATGTGGTATTTGTGGGAAAAGTTTTATTTCCTCAGGAGAGCTCAACAAACACTTTCGATCCCATACAGGTCTGTGTTTAGGGAGAATGTATTATTCTTTGTTCTCTCTTTCTATAATTTCTTTTCGTGTAAGCCTTAACCCAACTTTTGGTACAAAGAATTGTAAAAATAGATTTTAAACAGACATACTCTTATCATAAGCAGTTAAAAGCAAATTAAAATGAAGAAAATGTTTACGGATGTAAAGGGTGAAAACAGTAAACCAAGGAAAACAACATTGATGGTTGCTGTTTTTTGTCCCCTTAGAGTGGCTCCTTCCTTAGTACTAAGTCCACTCCCAACACCCTTCCTTGATTTAAATAGAACTTATGTACAATATTGCCAAGTAAGGAAAATTTCTAACTAGTGAAAAATTATCACCATGTAGCACCATTACTTTATTGAATCAAAATTTATGGGAGGAAAACAAGGAGAAATGTCGTGGTACTTGAAAAGATGAATTGAGTCATTTTCCTTTTAGAAAAAGGAGTTCCTATATGTTTAAAAATCCTACTTTATGGAACTTTTTTGTTGTTTTAGAATTGGACATAAAAATTTATAATTATATTTAAGAACAATATAATATTAACCATTTTAGGTTCATATACATGTTGATACATATATTTTTGCTTCAGCTACCAACCTATATAAATGTTGAGATTTTTAAACTAAACTTTTTTTTCCACCCCAGGAGAAAGACCATTTATCTGTGAATTATGTGGAAATTCCTATACTGATATAAAAAATTTAAAGAAGCACAAAACAAAAGTCCATTCTGGTAAGTGCTGAATGCCATATTGACATGTTTATATCTAAAGGACATAATTGCCTTATTCTTTAGGTTTGCTCCCACTTTGAAGACTTGAGATTTATGAAGTCGATAAGCAAAGGAGTTGGGATTTAATGTAGAAGTCAGTGCACCTTCGTGTGGAATTGGGAGGTTGGCAGATAGGGCATCCATGTTCCAGCTCCTCCTTGTGGGGTGAAGCTGAGCCAGCAGTGCCCATGCTGGGCCACATTTTCCTGGACTGCAGAGGCTGCAGGTCCGGTGCCAGCCACAGGCTCTGTACCACCCTAAGGCTGCTGCGATCGTGCGTAGCAGTGGTAGAGAATGGATCACAGAGTTTTTCAACCAGCTATACATATCAGAGTTGAAATTGAAGAGTCCAACTCCTACCTCTCACTTAGTCCCTAAATGAAACTACCTACAAGGGCTCACCAGCATTAGCTTGGAGACATCTGATGAAGAAACACTTCTTGTTTCCCCCAACAGCTTGTTCCACTGTTGTCTCTGATTGCTTAAAGTTTTCTTTCCAATTAACAAATATCTTTTTTCTTCTTTACCATACCCTTGTAACAAATATGCATAATAAAATAAAATAAATTCCCATATTGGCCATGTCCAAAACTGTATGTCTCATTCTTGAATGCTTTTAGTTTTTAAGTCAAGCTAAATTAGAAGAAAGAATAAATATAAGATATGGGACCCAATTGAGGGAACACTACCTGACCTGCTTAATTTTTTAAATTAAAATTTTATCTCCTGTTTTTATATCTCTTATAGTTTTCCACTGTATCCCTCTTCAGTCCCTCCTAAAGAGCCATCCTTTATGGTAAAAAAAAAAAATTTTAAAGAAGAAAAAAAATCCTATAAAACTAGTGAACATTTTAAAAAATTCTGGTATTACATGTAGTATTAGAATACCTGTGGAACTCCAGCCCTGCAAAGAAGCAAGAAGAGGTGTCTCTTCCTAGGCCTTCTTTGGGGCCATGCTTGGTCATTAAAATTTCACAGCATTCCGTTTAGATTGTTTTATTGTTCTTTCCATTGACATCATTATAGTTCTGTGTGTTGTTTTCTTGGTTCTGTTCATTTATTTTATTTTGCCTCAGTTCATAGAAGTCTCTTCCTGCTTCTCTGAATTCATTACGTTTATCATCTTTTATAGTATGATAGAATGCCATTACATTCGTGTACCACAGTTTAGCTCCTCCCCAGTCAATGCGCAACTACTGTTTCTAGTTCTTTGCTACCACAGAAATATTGCCACAGATATTTTGGTGTATTAGGGACCTTTCTTTTTTACCAATGATCTCCTTGAAGTAATGTACCCAACTGTGGAATAATCTGTGGTTCAAAAGTATGGGCATTTTAGTTAAGATATGTGTGTATACATGTATGTATGTATACACATATACATACATATGTGTATATGTGTGTCTAAAGAGAGGAGAGAAATCTGTCTTCTTTTGTTTGGATTTTACTTCCCCTATAGAATGTGTTTTTGCCTTTCTTTGTGTCCCCATGGTTTATTATGGTGTCTGGCATAGAGTAAGTGCTTCATAAATGCTTGCGGATTGACTGGCTAGCCATAAAACTAGGTCCTGATTAGTGCAAACAGTGAATCCCTTGAAGTGGTCGCGTATAACCTCAAGGAGGTAAAAAGAAGATCCTTAATAGACCAAAACATTTATGGTTGTGCTTTTGTGGTAGCAAAGAACTAGAAGGAAGCAGAGTCGCTGCTCAGTGAATGGGGAAGAGCGAAGCAAACTTCGGGGAAGACACGAGCATTAAGGGGAGCTGGGAAGGGCCTCGTGTGGAAGGTGCCATTTAATAAAGCTAAGGGTTTTTTTCACTCTTTTAGTATTTTTTTCAATTACATGTAAAGATAAATTTTTTTTCCTTGCAAAATTTAAGGCTTTTTTTTTTGCTTTTCCTTTTTTTTATTTTATTTTTAAAAAAATTTTTTTACTTTATTTGTTTTTAGTTTTCAGCAGTCACTTCTATAAGATTATGAGTTTTAAATTTTCCCCCTCTCTCCAAGATGGCATGCAATCTGATACAGGCTCTACATACACATTCACATTAAACATATTTTCACATTAGTCACATTGTAAAGAAGAATTAGAACCAATGGGAGGATCCATGAGAAAGAACAAACAACAAAAAAAAAAGACAGCAAATTGTTTGCTTCCATCTGCATTCAGACTCCATAATTCTTTCTCTGAATGCGGATATCATTTTCCACCACGAGACTTTTGGAGTTGTCTTAGACCCTTGCCTTGCTGAGAAGAGCCAAGTGTGTCAGAGTTGGTCATTGCATAGTGTGGCTGTTGCTGCGTACACTGTTCTCCTGGTTCTGCTTGCTTCACTCAGCATCAGTTCATGTAAGTCTTTCCAGGTTTTTCTGAAGTCCACCTGCTCATCATTTCTTATGGGACAGTAGTGTTCCATTACATATACCACAACTTGTTCATCCATTCTCCAATTGATGGGCGTTCTCTCAATTAGCAATTCTTTGCTACCCCAAGAAAAGCTGCTATAAATGTTTTTGTACATGTAGGTCCTTTTCCCTTTTTCATGATCTCTGATGACCTTGTAGTGGTTTTGCTGGGTCAAAAGGTATGCACAGTTTGGTTGCCCTTTGTTGTCTTCTTCTGGTTGTATGTTTTCATCTTCTTGTCACCAAAGAAAGATTCTGTGGTCTGACTTTTTTTTGCAATGTTTGCTCATGATCCCAGCCAATTATTTGACTTTTAAACTCTTTGTTAAGGTAGGGGTCTGCTTCTAGTATGGAGAATGTACTGTCCCAAGCTTCGGGGGTTTTGTGCAGCTGTTTTCAGAGATACTTCTAGGGACTTGTACGTTTTCAGTTCTTCCAAGGTGGTACAATCAAGGGCAAGGTGTTTACCCCTTTCCTGACCTCGGTTCTGGTCTATGATTGGCCACAAGGACTCTTTTCTGCCTTGGAACTGTGAAGGGGATTCCCTCTCCACTGTCACCACAAGCTCTACCACACCAACGCTCCTCTTTGCCCCAGGACCGCCTACCAGAACTGCAACCCAGATCCAAGCAGGATTCTCTTGGATTGCCTGTGCTTGGATCAATTGACAACTCCACCAACAACAATTTTCTCACATCTTCTCCAACATTTATCATTTTCCTTTTTTGTCATGTTAGCTAATCTGATAGGTATGAGGTGGAGCCTCAGAGTTGTTTTAATTTGTATTTCTTTAATCAGTGATGATTTAGAGCATTTTTTCCATATGATTATAGATAGCATTGATTTCTTCCTCTGAAAACTGTTTATATCTTTTCACCATTTATCAATTAGGGAATGACTTGTATTCTTATAAACTTGACTCAGTTCTCTATATATTTTAGAAATTAGGTCTTTATCAGAAACACTGGCTGTAAAAATTGTTTCCCAACTTTCTGCTTTCTTTCTAATCTTGGTTGCATTGGGTTTTTTTGTGCAAAATCTTTTTAATTTCACGTAATCAAAATTATCCATGTTGCATTTCATTATGTTTTCTATCTCTTGTTTGGTTATAAATTCTTCTGTTCTACGTAGATCTGACAGGTAAACTATTCCTTGCCCTCCTAATTTGCTTGTGGTATCATCCCTTTTGTCTAAATTATATACCCATTTTGACCTTAGCTTGGTATAGGGTGTGAGGTGTTGGTCTATGCCTAGTTTCTGCCATACTATTTTCCAGTTTTACCAGCAGTTTTTGTCAAATTGTGAGATCTTATCCAGGAAGCTGGAGTCTTTGGGTTTAATAAACAGTAGATTACTATAGTCATTGACTACTGTGTCTTGTGTACCTAACCTATTCCACTGATTCACCACTCTATTTCTTAGCCAGTACCAAGTAGTTTTGATGATTGCTGCTTTATAATACAATTTAAGATCTGGTATGGCTAAGCCACCTTCTCTAGCATTTCTTTTCACTAATTCCCTTGATGTTCTTGACCTTTTTTTAAATTAATTTTTAGTTTTCAACATTCATTTTTATAAGATATTGAGTTCTAAATTTCCCCCCTCCCTCCCTTCCTCCTCCCTAAGATGGCATGTAGTCTGATATAATCTATACATATACAATGATATTAAACATATTTCCACATTGGTCAACCTTTTTGTTCTTCCAGATGAATTTTATTTTTTTTATCTCTATAAAATAATTTTTTGGTAGTTTTATTAATATGCCACTGAATAAGCAAATTAATTTAGGTAGAATTATCATTTTTATCATGTTAGCTCAGCCTACCTATGAGCAACTGATATTTTTCCAGTTGTTTAGAGCTGACTTTATTTGTGTGAAAAGTGTTTTGTAATTGTGTTCATATAGTTCCTGGATTTGTCTTGGCAGGTAGACTTCCCAATATTTTATATTGTCTACAGTTATTTTAAATGGAATTTCTCTATTTCTTGCTGCTGCTGCGCTTTGTTGGTAGTATAATATACAGAAATGCTGATGATTTATGTGGGTTTATTTTATATCCTGCAACTTTGCTAAAGTTGTTAATTGTTTCAAATAGTTTTTTCATTGATTTTCTAGGATTCTCTAAATATACCATTATGTCATCTGCAAAGAATGATAGTTTTTGATAGTTTTGTTTCCTCGTTGCCTTTTCTAATTCCTTCAATTCCTTTTTTTTCTCTTATTGTTGTATCTAACATTTCTAGTACAGTATTGAATAATAGTGATAATGGGCATCCTTGTTTCACCCCTGATCTTATTGGGAATGCTTCTAGCTTATCCCCATTACATATAATGCTTGCTGATGGTTTTAGATAGATACTGCTTATCATTTTAAGGAAAACTCCATTTATTCCTATGTTCTCAGTGTTTTTTTTTTTTTTTTTAATAGGAATGGGTGCTGTATTTTCTCTAAAACTTTTTCTGCATCTATTGAGATAATCATATGATTTCTGTTAGTTTGTTATTGATAAGGTCAATTACGCTGATAGTTTTCCTAATACTGAACCAGCC